GCTTCCCGCACCAAACCAGTGGTGCGCGTCGCCAGCCCGGTCCGGCCCGTTCCTGCTCCCCGCACCAAGCCAGTGGTGCGCGTCGCCAGCCCGGTCCGGCCCGTTCCAGCTCCCCGCACCGAGCCAGTAGTGCGCGTCGCCAGCCCGGTCCGGCCTGTTCCTGTCCCTCGCACCGAGCCTGTGGTGTGCGTCGCCAGCCCGGTCCGGCCTGTTCCTGTCCCTCGCACCAAGCCTGTGGTGCGCGTCGCCAGCCCGGTCCGGCCTCTTCCTGCTCCCCGCACCAAGCCAGTGGTGCGCGTCGCCAGCCCGGTCCGGCCTGTTCCTGCTCCCCGCACCAAGCCAGTGGTGCGCGTCGCCAGCCCGGTCCGGCCTGTTCCTGCTCCCCGCACCAAGCCAGTGGTGCGCGTCGTCAGCCCGGTCTGGCCCGTTCCTGCTCCCCGCACCAAGCCAGTGGTGCGTGTCGTCAGCCCGGTCCGGCCCGTTCCAGCTCCCCGCACCAAGCCAGTGGTGCGCGTCGTCAGTACGGCACGGTCCGTGCCTGTTCCACCGGTGCCTGGTCCGGCACCGGTCAGCTGCTCCACTCCGGAGCCAGAGCAATCCGCTCCACCGGTGTTCAGTCCAGCTCCGGCCAGCGGGACCAGACCAGGGGCATAACGGGGGGTTAGAGAGAGAGTGGTGGTCACGCCCGGAGCCGGATCCGCCTCCGAGGCGGAATGCCCACCCGGCCCCTACCCTGTTGTGTTGGTGTGGCGCGGTCGCAGTCCGCGCCTTTGGGGGGGGGTACTGTCACGCCCTGGCTCTGGGGATTCTTAAATGTTGAGCCAGGGTGTGGATTTTCTATGTTTTGTTTTCTATGTTTTTGGTTCTAGTTCGTTTTGTTCTATGTTGGCCAGGGTGGTTCCCAATCAGAGGCAGCTGTAGCTCGTTGTCTCTGATTGGGGACCATACTTAGGCAGCCTGTTGGCATGTTACTTTGTGGGATCTTGTTCCGAAAGGTTTGTGTTGTAACCTAGGACTTCACGTATCGTTTGTTTATTGTTTTGATCGTGTGTTAAGTACAATAAAGAATGTACGCTTATCACGCTGCGCCTTGGTCCGCTTCATCTGTCAGCGATCGTGACACTCTGCCTCTGACATCAACTTCCCGTGCTCACCACCGATGGACAGTGCCCATGAGAGCTGCCGTTGATGGGCTCCTGGTTAAGCACCACAGGGAGAAAGACATCCTGAAGAGGGTGAATGGGACATACAGCTCTGTCATCAGCTGTACCACCAGTATCACGACTGTCATTGTCATTAGCTGCTACAGCTAAACTAATTTACTAATGTTTATTGCACCATATACTATTGTTTTTTTCCATACAAGATCTAGGGCGACTGTGCCTCAGTAGTTGGGTAAGCTCCTTCCTCATTGGCCAAGCTCCTTCCTCATTGGCCCTGTCTGTTGAACAGCTCCACAATGTCTCCCAACCCCTCTGTCTCAGTCGTTTCCCACAGGGGGCCAGTATGACAAATGTATGCACTCACTAACTGTAAGTCGCTCTGGATAAGAGCGCCTGCTAAATTACTAAAATGTAAATGTAATTATGCTGCAATTGTTTATGTAAAGGGGGCTAGGGTCAGCTTTTCGTATCTGGTGTACTGTGTGCTCTTAGGCATGCTCCCACTAATCCCCCTCTCTGTCTCTGTGTCTCCCCTCCCGGGACCTGAGGCCCTGTTCGTGCTGCTGGTTCAACTGCAGCTGTGGACCCCTGGCCTGATTTCACCGGGCGCGCTACCTTGTCCCGGAACCCTGCTGATCGAGCTCAGCCAGGTAGTCACTGTGCTTCTGCCTCTGCATTGCTTGCTCGTTGAGGTTTTAGGCTGGGTATCTGTAACGCACTTTGTGACAGCTGCTGATGTAAAAAAGGGCATCCCGGCCGACCAAACCTTCCCCTAACCCGGACGACGCTGGGCCAATTGAGCGTTGCCTCATGGGTCTCCCGGTCACGGCCGGCTGTAACACAGCCTGGGATCAAACCCGGGTCTGTAGTGACGCCTCAAGTGCCTTAGACCACTCGGGAGGCCCCTAATGAAATTTGTTTCTAATAATTTTTTTGCTACTGTCTGGTGAGGAAGTGGGCAATATGGAATACATTGGCGGAAGGGAGAATGAATGAGTAATCCGTTTATGGATGCGTAAAAGGGCATGCGTAAAATAAATGGACAATGTCAGGGAATAAGCAGGTAAATGTATAGCCTATCAATGACAAGAAACGGTATAGAGAAGTAACATTAGCTAGAAAACATTAGATATTTGCATGTTATGTACTGGACAGGGGCTTGCTAGCTGTTTTTAAAACATTGGATTACCAACTTGAGCAAATATACACCTTACCAAATATGGTAGTGAGAGGAAGCCCAGTGGCCAGCAGTGGGAGAAGATGGAAGGAGATGGATTTTGGCAGACATTCTGCAAATGTTCTCATCGATGAAACATTTGATCTCAATACAGTTTTCTGTTCCCAAAACTAGAATCTGTTTTGAACAGAGTGGACTAGGTTTTATAGACTTTACCCTTTGCCAAAGTTTCAAAAAAATTATGTTGTTTAGAAGGAGTGCAAAAGCGAATTTAGTTATTGCACACACGAACTTCACAGAGTAGGCGTTCCGTAACGGAAATATGCAGATACATGCTAGAACAGGCAAATAGGATCTCGCTAGCTCGTGCTTGGCTCTACCCACCTCCTTGCTTGTTCTGCCCACTATGACTCATTTGTTCCCATTGGAAACGACAGGCTGTGGTCTATCTTAGTTTAGTTATAATAAATATTTGGTTGTACTATGTTGAATAACTTGTTTTCAAAGTGTCCTCAATTTTTATTACAAGCGCATTGCTGAAAACTTTTAAATTCTCACTTTTGGATGGGATGCATTGGTGCAATTATTTATTTATTCCACGAATTAAGGGATCATGTCAACATCCACCCATCTGCACAACACACTTGAAATAACGACGACCTTGAACAGGCCCAAATTTGTTGACACAGACATCATGTGACAGTGCGCAAAGAACAGGTCGAGAAAGTCAGTGTGCAAAATCCGGACATGAGAGATTGCCGCAAAAGAAACAATGTGTCGTAGACAAGACAAAAATGTCAACACACGTGATAGAAAGTACGTTATGTTTCACTATATTGGATCACTCCAATGTATTGGTATCACTCCGTGGCGGAGGGATACATCCGAGGTGAGGATTTACAGATTTACTCCCATGTACACCTGTGTCACGACTGGGGTCCGCCCCTATATATAGACCCCATGGCCGCGACACACATTCTCTTTCATTTTCTCTGCGGACGTTTGTATGGTTTGAGGTACAAACTTTCTGAACTTCGCTTGGTAAGTCACTGTTAAGTGTAATATCTTGCGTGGAAGTATACTCACTGGCTGTTTGCAGCCTGGAGCAGCTGGCCACATGGCCAGCCCCTCCTCTTGAGTGCTCCATTCGCTGCACACGGTTGATCTGTATCTTCCGCCCGTGGTTTGTCGTACTTGTGTTTCGTTAGCGTTACACTACGACTCTGTGTGCATCCATTAGTATGGTGGCTCTTGCTGCACAAACTGTAATTTACCTTACACAACTTGTTCTATGTGTGTGTTGTGAATTGCTTTGACATACTGCTCCCCGCACCGTAGGCGCGGGTTCTCTGCTAATTACTCTGCAGGGTTTTTTCTTGATCTTTCCCCTGCAGAGTGTAAGAATATCGTGGTGGGCTTTCCACCACGTTGAGACATTAACTTTGGAGTTCCTTAACAGAGTTACTTCATCATATGGTGCTGTTTTTGCTGCTTGGATATTAAACCGGCTAGGTAATATTGCAGTTGGCGTAAAACAAAAACAAATAAATCAAATCCATTACCTGGTTGCTGTTTTTTTGTCTGCCTGTTTTTCCCACACGGTCTTCCCCGGTTTTTGCAGAGGTACTGGGTAATTTATCCCTTACCGGGTTCCTATTCCTCCAAGCGGGTCACGACTTAAGGTCTCCCAGGGCGTCGGACCCCTGCTCCGTGGCCTTGTTGGCTTGGCTGAGCTTATGGCTTCCCTTTGTGACAGGTGTGATGGTGGCATCCCCCCTGGGGATCCGCATACCTCATGTATGCACTGCCTGGGTTTGAGCCACGCGGTGAGGGCGGTGGAGCGCCGTACTGGATGCATGTTTTGTGTGGTGTTCTCAGAACGCCTGCACCTGGCGCGATTGGAGGCCATGTGCGATTGGAGGCCATGCGCGAGTGGGTCGGCCAGGCTCGGGCTCAGGCTGGGGACGAGCTCCCTCCCTAAGGAGTGGTGCGCCAGCGAGCTGTAAGTCCCTCTACTGGGTCCAGTACCCCTCCCAGGAAGCGTGGCCGGAGCCACCGCAGGCAGAGCCCATCTGCTGCCAGTCCTGGACGGGGGCAGGAGTCGGACTGCTGGGACCACCTTGAACGGAGGGCGCATGCCCTGCGTCAGGAGGTTGATAGCTTCGGTGGAGACTGTTCTCTGTTGGCCAGTGATAGGCTGTTCCTGGGGCACGATGCTGGCAATTTTCACCGCCGTGAGCGGGGCTACCAGGCTGACAGGCCCTCGGAAGCCGGTAGCGGGGCTTCATCGCCCCCAGCGGCTAGAGAGGCTATGAGGAGCCTACTCACTCGGGTAGCCACTGCAATGGATATCAAACTGGTGGACAGTGATGACTCTCCATCTGTCCCCATCTCTGCTGAGTTCCGCGAGGCCTTGCAGGAGAGCTGGGCCTCTGCCAGAGGGCGCTTCCGACTCACAGCAGAGACTGGACCATGGAGTTATGTTGCGGGCACGGAGTCACTCGTACTCCAGGAGTACTCGACCATGGACACCATGATAGCTGCCATGGTCCTCCTGGACAGGGAGATTATAGGGCGGAACCCCCCCCAGAGTCTTTGATGCAGACTTGAAAGCCACATATGGGTCCCTCTGCTCTCTTGGCTGCCTTACCAACGCGGCCATGCTGCTGCAGGCCTACCTGCAGACTCTGCTGCCCCGGCTGCAGGAGGGCACAGAGGAGCTCCTCCGGGAAGCAATGGAGGTGTCTCGCCTGCTTTTCCTGCTACAGAGAGATGTGGCCCACGCCAACGGACGGGCCAATGGCGCAGGTGGTTACCTCCCGGCGTCATCTCTGGCTGGCCCAATCCCGTCTGCCAGCTGCTCTCCAGAGCACATTTGCAACTCTCCCCATCACCCCAGGGCTGACGTTTGGCCCACGGGTTGATGACATTCTGGAGAAGACCAATAAGGTTCTTAGGGACCGGGAGACCCTGAGACAGTTCATGCTGCCTCCTCAGGCCCCGGGTCCAAGGCAGACGGACCGTCGCCACCCACCTGCACCCTAACGACGGGGGGGCTCCCTCTCCTGCCCCATCGCCTCGTGCTGAGGGATGACAGCGGGGAGGGGCACAGTGTGTGGTGAAGCAACAACCTGTCTACTGTCAACGCCATAGGGATGTGCCTGGGGGACCCAGGCGCTCAGGGCACAGGGAGGAGAGGCGGACCCCGGCAGGACCCCTGACACACCCTTCCCCGGCCTCGGCCGCTTCTCCCGGTCTCAAAGGGCAAAGTTGGAGGAGGGTGTGGAGTCCCCCTGGGTGTTGTCCACAATGCTCGAGGGGTTACCGACTCCAATTCCGGTGCCAGCCCCCGTCATTCAGGGGCCTTCGTGTCACCACGGTGGCCGACCCCCTGAAGAAAAAAACCCTGTGGCTGGAGATCTCCCCACTCCTGGACAAGGGTACCATCTGCAGGATCGAGACATCAGAACGGCTAGGTGGGTTCTACTCCACTTATTTTGTGGTCCCAAAAAGAGACTGAGGGTTTCGACCGATTCTGGACCTCTGCAAACCTCAATGGGTACTTGAAGGTACTGAGGTTCTACATGCTGTCCCCAGCCCGTGTGTTGTAGGCCGTGTCCAGGGACCAGTGGTTTGTGACGCTGGACCTGAGGGATGCGTACGTCTATGTTCCTGTTCACCCTGCTCATTGGCAGTACCTCCGATTCACTTTCGAATGGACGGTTTATGAATTCATGGTTCTTCCCTTCGGCCTCTCCTTGGTACCCCGCACTTTCACAAAGTGCATGGACGCTGTCCTGGCACCTCTCACGTCCCGAGGATTGTTGATCCTCGATTACCTGGACGATTGGCTGATTTGTGTCCCGACCAGGACCCAGGTCCTGTCAGACAGAGACACGATCTTGATCTGGGCATTACTGTAAACGACAAGAAGACTCATCTGACGCCCACCCAGAGGGTGGCCTTCATTGGCATGGAACTGGACTCATGAGAGCACGCCGGCCCACCAGAAGGGTTCAGGCGATCTTATCTGGCCTCGACCACTTTCGGCAAGGGCGGGTGGTATCTGCCCTGACCTACCAACGCCTGTTGGGCTTGCTGACGGCTGATTCCCTTGGGCCTGCTCCATCTCCGGCCTCTTCCACGGTGGTTCAACTCCCACCGGTTGCACCCGAAGTGCCACCGTCACCGCCAGCTGTGGGTGACATCACAGTCCCTCAGGGCATTGTTGAGGTGGCGCTGTCGCTCCTTTCTCTCAGGTGGGGTGGAGATGCTGAGGATGTGCCGCCAGGAGCTGGTCAGCACAGACGCCTCCCAGATCGGCTGGGGGGGGTGTGACCAAGGGCAGGTCGGCCAGCGGCTGTTGGCTACCCCCTTGGAGCGGCAGGCACATCAATACATTAGACCTCCGAGCTGTACTGCTGGCCCTGCGGTCTTTCCTTCCAGATCTGAAGGTGAGAATGGACAACACCACAGTGGTGGCTTACATCAACCATCAGGGTGGACTGAGGTCCCACCGTCTCCACCTTATGGCACGGGAGCTCCTTCTCTGGGCTCAGGGATGTCTAGTGTCTCTACGCGCAGCACATGTACCTGGCATCCTGAATGTGGCAGCGGATATGCTCTCGAGGGAGGGCCCGCCACCTTGGGACTGGAGCCTACATTCCCAGGTGGTGCAGCACCTGTGGGACAAGTTCAGGAAGGTGCAGGTGGACCTGTTTGCCTTCCTGGGCAATGCACACTGCCCGCTGTGGTACTCCATGTCGGAGCCACCAGGGCCTCTGGGCTTGGATGCTCTGGCTCACGATTGGCCAGGGCTGGAGCTTTACGCATTCCACCCTTTTCCTCTGATCCAGGCTGTGCTGGACAGGACCAGGATGGCGGAGCATCGTCTGCTGCTGGTGGCCCTATACTGGCCCAGACGACCCTGATTCAGCTTTCTCCTGTCCCTGTTGTCTGGGACACCTTGGCAACTGCCCCTGAGACCCGACCTGCTGTCTCAGGCTGTGGGAACTCTGTGGCATCCGAGACCGCACCGCCTCAGTCTGTGGGCTTGGCCGCTGAACGGCACCAATGGTCCATGTTAGGACTACAGCAGGGCATAATGAACACCATGCGGAGCGCAAGGGCACCGGCTACAAGCGTGGCATACCAGTTGCGCTGGCGGTTATTCTGCTCTTGATGCACTGGTATTGAGGTTGTGCCCAAGTCATGCGGGGTGCATTATGTCCTCCAATACCTGCAGTCTCGCTTGGATGAGGGCTTGGCAGCCTCTACAGTGTGAGGGTATTTGGCCGCTATAAAGTGCTTTGCAAAAGTATTCATCCCAGTTTTTCCTATTTTGTTGCATTACAACCTGTAATTTAAAATGATTTTTATTTGGATTTCATGTAATGGACGTACACAAAATAGCCCAAATTGGTGAAGTGAAATTAATAAAATTACTTGTTTCAAAAAATTATCACAAATAAAGAATGGAAAAGTGGTGCGTGCATATCTATTCACCCCCTTTGCTATAAAGCCCCTAAATAAGATCTGGTGCAACCAATTACCTTCAGAAGTCACATAATTGGTTAAATAAAGTCCACCTGTGTGCAATCTAAGTGTCACATGATCTGTCACATGATCTCAGTATACAGTGGGGGAAAAAAGTATTTAGTAATTTTCATCATAGGTACACGTCAACTATGACAGACAAAATGAGAAAAAAAATCCAGAAAATCACATTGTATGATTTTTAATGAATTTATTTGCAAATTATGGTGGAAAATAAGTATTTGGTCACCTACAAACAAGCAAGATTTCTGGCTCTCACAGACCTGTAACTTCTTCTTTAAGAGGCTCCTCTGTCCTCCACTCGTTACCTGTATTAATGGCACCTGTTTGAACTTGTTATCAGTATAAATATAATGTTAAAAAGGGAAGAAAAAGACAATCCAGTTTTTCTAAATTAGCTATCTAGACTACTACTCACCTCCACTAGAATAGTTATTTTTATGTTATTGAGTAGGCCTATATACTTTGTTTAATCTAATGAAATTATTAATCTAACAATAAAAAATATTGTAATTTTTAAAGAAATGTAAGGTCTTTCTACAAGAAAGTGAACTAAAGGAGAAGCTCACTTGGTAATGAGTAGTAAGTCATTATATAGAAATTGCTCATCGGTAACTTTACAATTACAGTTTACTTTAAATAGCTAAATCCTGTGTTACAACTAGTGACAACCTTGTACTTATGCAGATATTACAGATATGTACTCTGTGGTCTATTAGTGTTTATTTTCTCACTTGGATGGCGTTTTCAGAAGCTGACGATTAGATTGTCAGGATGGGTAACATACTTTGTAGGTACACAACAATTACAAGTAAGTACCCCTCAAGATACACTTCATTTTAACTAGCTAAATCCTGTGTAACACCTAGTAATTACAATGTACGTATGCAGGTATTACATGTACTCTGTGGTGTGGTGTACTAGTGTGTTTATCCTCCCACTTGGATGGTGCTTCCAGAAGCTTTAAAATTAGGACCTGGTTGTCAGGATGGTTAATGTACTATATAAGTACACATTAATTACAAGTAAGTACCCCTCAAGATACACTTTGACTAGTTTAATCCTGTGTAACACCTAATAATTACGTGCGAGAGAGACAGGTTGATGTCAGAGTAGAACTGGAGGTGTAGTATGCTGAGGCAGTGAAGAGAGTAGAGGATGACGGCTAAAGGGTGAGTAGTAGGCCTAGGCCAATACAGAGTGATACAAATGTGTGCTTCAGTAAGGTTGGCATCTTAGCATTCATTTCCATTGTTATCAACTGTACCCAGAAATGGAACGTAAATCACAGAAAATAGATGGTGGTGGCAGCTGCAGATAAGTACTTACAGTTGAAGTCGGAAGTTTAAATACACCTTAGCCAAACACATTTAAACTTTTCACAATTCCTGACATTTAATCCTAGTAAAAATTCCCTGTCTTTGGTCAGTTAGGATCACCACTTTATTTTAAGAATGTGAAATGTCAGAATAATAGTAGAGAGGATTATTTATTTCAGCTTTTATTTCTTTCATCATATTCCCAGTGGGTCAGAAATTTACATACACGCAATTAGTATTTGGTAGTATTGCCTTTAAATTGTTTAACTTGGGTCAAACATTTCGGGTAGCCTTCCACAAGCTTCCCACAATAAGTTGGGTGAATTTTGGCCCATTCCTCCTGACAGAGCTGGTGTAACTGAGTCAGGTTTGTAGGACTCCTTGCTCGCACACGCTTTTTCAGTTCTGCCAACAAATGTTCTATAGGATTGAGGTCAGGGCTTTGTAATGGCCACTCCAATACCTTGACTTTGTTGTCCTTAAGCCATTTTGCCACAACTTTGGAAGTATTTGGAAGACCCATTTGCGACCAAGCTTTAACTTCCTGACTGATCTCTTGAGATGTTGCTTCAATATATCCACATAATTTTCCTTCCTCATGATGCTATCTATTTTGTGAAGTGCACCAGTCCCTTCTGCAGCAAAGCACCCCCACAGCATGATGCTGCCACCCCTGTGCTTCACGGTTGGGATGGTGTTCTTCGGCTTGCAAGCCTTCCCCATTTTCCTCCAAACATAACGATGGTCATTATGACCAAACAGTTCTATTTTTGTTTCATCAGACCAGAGGACATTTCTCCAAAAAGTAAGATCTTTGTCCCCATGCGCAGTTGCAAACCGTAGTCTGGCTTTTTTATGGCGGTTTTGGAGCAGTCGCTTCTTCCTTGCTGAGCGGCCTTTCAGGTTATGTCGATATAGGACTTGTTTTACTGTGGATATAGATACTTTTGTACCTATTTCCTCCAGCATCTTCACAAGGTCCTTTGCTGTTGTTCTGGGATTGATTTGCACTTTTCGCACCAAAGTACGTTCATCTCTAGGAGACAGAACGCGTCTCCTTCCTGAGCGGTATGACGGCTGCGTGGTCCACAGGTAAACCTCCAATTGACTCAAATGATATCCATTAGCCTATCAGAAGCTTCTAAAGCCATGACATCATTTTCTGGAATTTTCCAAGCTGTTTAAAGGCACAGTCAACTTAGTGTATGTAAACTTCTGACCCACTGGAATTGTGATACTGTGAATTATAAGTGAAATAATCTGTCTGTAAACAATTGACACAAGATTTTACTGCAGAAGAGTTACAAGGTGTGTTGAACGAAAGAGTCCCATTATCCATCAGCCTGGTGTAGGATCAGTTAGGGTCAAAGTAGTGGAATGGGGTGGAATGGGGTGGTGTTTTTCAAATAATTAAATAGTGGTATATAGGTGTAGTGGCGACCTGTCATAAAAAAAATGGTTGCCTGGTTTGCATGTTATTTTGGCATTACAGTTTTTCTCCATTGGTTTGGCTCATTTCTTGAAACAGAAATTACATTCTCAAAACTCTAAGATCATTTGGCAAAACAGTCTTACAGTTCAGCACAACACTATAGCTCACTTGCAAAAGCTCATATCTCTCCTAAAACTGTTCACTCATGCTTCAAAACTAAATTCCTTTCCCATATAAGGAGTCAGTGCCACGAAAATGGCAAAGATCCTTCTCAATTGCTTTGGCTCATTTCTTGAAACAGACCGGACGTTCTCAACACTCTTGGTGCTTTAGCCAAAATAACGTGGATGGTTCGGCACAACACCATGGTTCACCTGCAAAAGCTCATACCTCTCCCAAAACAGTTCACGCATGTGTCAAAACTAAATTTCCTTCTCATTTAAACAGTCAGTGCCCCCAAAATGCTTCGTCCCTTTGGCATTGTGTAAGCACTGCAAGTCAAAATGTTTAGATGTTTTGTCACTATGGCAGAGGACCATTGAAATATCCCTCATGTCCACCTTTCAGTCTTAGCCCAGTCCTTCATTGACAATGGTTACTGTACTGTTTTTTGTCTAGCTAACAGAATACAATTGTGTATAAAACTGAAAAAAATAAATAGGATTTTAGGGTAAGAGTAGCCTCCAAGGTTTGACATCACACATTGCACTCATACTGCCAAGGAAATTGTAACCATTATCATTCACACACATAAAGTAACTTCCATACATCAGAGTAAAAAGAAAATGTATACAGCATAATATACTGTAATATAAACACACAAACAAAAAACAATGAAAATTATATGCAGCCTACAGTGCTGTAAATAAAGCTGGAGTTTCACAACTAACAGTTCTTCACTGGTCGCTGTCCTCACCCTCCTGGCCATCCACACGCTGCTGTCTGTCTGGCCACAGATTCTCGTCCACATCACAGCGTATATTCTCCCTTGCGATGCAACGAGGGAAGAAACGGCGTGCATGTCGCAACCATCCCCTACACTGATCTCCTGTAATATCCTCACACGCAGCGTCCATTGCATGGAGCAGGGACCTCTGATCTTGAGCCCGATGCTCATACACTCTCCACCTCCAAGCGGAGAAATACTCCTCAATAGGATTGAGGAAAGGAGAGTAAGGTGGTAGGAACACCATGACCATCCTTGGATGAGTAGTGAACCAGGCCCTGATGAGCGGGCCACGGTGGAAATTCACATTGTCCCATACAATGACATATTGTGGTAGGTGAGGCCCTACGAGACCGCTCTCATTTTCAGGGATCAAATCAACATGAAGGCGGTCCAAGAAGATGAGGAGCTTCTGTGTATTGTATGGGCCAAGACTGGGGATGTGAGTGGCCACACCATTCTCCGATATGGCAGCACACATAGTTATATTGCCCCCTCGCTGGCCTGGGACATCCACCATGGCCCGGTGGCCAATAATATTACGGCCACGTCTTCGGCCTTTGGCCAGGTTGAAGCCAGCTTCATCCACAAACACGAGGATGTGATGGGTCTCGTTTCCTTCCAATGCCATTATTCTCTACAATAGCGTAAAAAAAGAAAACATCAAATCAGTCATACAGAAGAGTCATACACTACAGTTACAGACAATTACATAGGAATGTTCTATGTTCTCCACAAGTTCAATATACTACTGGCCACTACTCCAGTGGTTCCAAACCTGGGGTACATGTACCCCTATGCAGAGGTACTACAGGGGGTATTTGACAGAAAGGGGAGGGGGGAAATCATCAATGACTAGACTTACTGAAATGTTACAGTAAAACCCACAGTATTAGATAGATTTACATGGGAGGCACTAATTGCAGCTCTTTGACCCCTTTTCTTATTGTATGTTATATTCTTCAAAATAAGGATTATAATGATAATTGCATCATACAGTAAGCTGCAGTTTTTAGGCGAAATGTTGAAGTCAGATAAATCAAATACTTCCATACCTGGATTACCTGGATACACAAATCAGGTAAAGTGGGTACTGAAGCCAAAAAAGTTTGGGAACCACTGCTTAATTGTAAAAATGTTATAATGATGGACAACCAGTAACTGACTTACATGTACATACTGGTACCGCAGCTCTTTCACTCTATCAGAGTTCCTCTCAAATGGTACCCTGTAAATTTGCTTCATTGTCATCTGATGCTTCTTCAATATCCGGTCTATTGTGGAGATGCTTATAGAGTTGACATTTTGGAATATGGCATTGTCTTGTAGGATTGCAGCGCGGATCTGTCTCAATGTGATGGCATTGTTTGCCATCACCATGTTACAGATCTCTTGTTCTTGTTGTTCATTGAGAAGTTTTCCTCTGCCACCTGTGCAAGGTTGTCGTCCAATCCTAGATATAGAAGTCAAAGGACAACACTCCATTCGTAATGTATACCTTATGTATTCCTTACAGAATGAGTTACCTATGTAATTGTATTGTTGTTTTACTTACAGTAACTTTACCACAATTCTAATGCATCACTGCACAGTGACTGGAATACTACTGTAAACTGTATCATCAATACTGTAGAAAATAAACTATTCCATAGTTTATTTTCTCCAATGTTTTTCTTGTCATTTTTAGTATCATAACATCCCATTGAGGTAAGATATTACTGTAGGCCTATCACACACACACACTAAATGAATAGGTAAATATGTAAATAAATATATTTCTTGCTCTATGCACAGTGTCCTGTCCTATACAACATATAATTCCATCATTGACTGACTACATACCTGTTTTCCCTGCGAAAGGTTTGGATGATGGAGGAGACTGTTGAGCGAGGCACATTAGGCTGCACTCGGCGACCTGCCTCCGCCATTGTGAGGCCATGGTTGATGACATGGTCTATAATTGTGGCCCGAATTTCATCCGGGACAGCATGGTGTCTTCGTGCTCCTCGGCCTCTTCCCCCTATTCCACCACCACGCACCCTTACTCCTCCTCCTCCTCTTCTTCTTCCTCTTCCTCGAGCAGGCAGTTGCCCTTGTTCATTTACTTGGCCAGGTGCCTCCATGTTCAGAAATTGTACTGGTCCTGCATGGTCAAGCTCTTTACATACATGTTTGGCAGCATTCACAGTCATGGACAGCACCTGTCAGGTAACTAAACATACTGTTTGATTGGTCATCTGAGATGTGTGAAACTCCTCCTTCGTTAGTCAAGTTCTAGTTTCACCTGACTGTCAATTGCTGTAATAAATTTATCAAATGTTCCAAGGGATTCATATATGGTATTCATGGTATTATGTTCTTGACTAATTTTGACAATTGAACAGACTATTGTGCATGTGATGACTTATACAATGAAATGACGCTGACACGTTTTGGAGCGAACAACCATTAGACTGAGAATCAACAATCAGTTTAGATCAACAAGATCTATTCACTTGGAAATTGTGCTAAATGTAGGCTACCTGTACTTAATCATTTGCAAAGATGTACTGAGACATTGAGACATGTACTTAGACATTTGCAATTTGATGAAATGAATGAGAAATTCAATTCTGTTGTGAACAATTGCCAAGTGGTTTGGAGGTTTGTCCATGTAGTTTTGAGAATGTAATTTCTGTTTCAAGAAATTAGCCAAACCAATGGAGAAAAACTGTAATACGTGTCACATATCAGTTTGCAAACAATGTAAAAATAAATAAATAAGTGTTAATAAAGCCACTTACAAACATGGTCTCTTTTTTGCTTTTTTAAGGCAGCTCCAAAATGCAGGAGTTTCAGCCTAGCTCAGTGCTTTCTGTTGTGGTGGGGCAGCCAGCGGAAAATACGGAGCGTAGGGGTTTGTAATGTTCTCTAGTTGTGCAGTGATTGGCTCAGTGTTCTGTCACTCATTGGGACACTACGTCACCGCAAAATCTACGGGGAGAGCTCAAAAATCCAAGCCCCTTGGGTGCTGCCATAGAGTTACATTAGAAGTGCCCATCCAAGAAGGCTCAAGGTCATTGGCCACAGATAAAATGACGTTAAATCACTGATCATGTCAACATCATACTTTCAAAATCTTAGTTAGCAAGCTAGACAAGCAGTCATCATCATGAATCACGTCGACAATCTACTGGCAAATCCTTTTCATTCCTTGTCATATTAAGATAAATTATAGATAAAATGTATCAGTGCTCATCGGCCATTGGACATAAACATTACACAACAAGTGGGAAATCGCAAATTCAACAATGAGTATTTAGAAGGAATCAGTGGCTACACTCCCGAGTGGCGCAGTGGTCTAAGGCACTGCATCGCAGTGCTAGCTGTGCCACTAGAGATCCTGGTTCGTATCCAGGCTCTGCTGTAGCCGGCCGCAACCGGGAGACCAATGGGGCGGCGCACAATTGGCCCAGCGTCGTCCAGGGTAGGGGAGGGAATGGCCGGCAGGGAGGTAGCTCAGTTGGTAGAGCATGGCGTTTGCAACGCCAGGGTTGTGGGTTCGATTCCCACGGGGGTCCAGTATGAAAAAAAAAAAAAGAATAATGTATGCACTAACTGTAAGTCGCTCTGGATAAGAGCGTCTGCTAAATGACGTAAATGTAAATGTAACTGCAAGCGTTGCAAAGCAATCACTAGCCTGCTATTCAGTGGAGTGGGTGTGTGGTCCAAGTCTGGGTTTAAGGCTCTCTTTTCCAAGCTTAAAAGGATAAACATTCAACACCATCGGCCAGAAAAGGTTCAATACATTCGCCATGCTGTCAATCCAGCACGACTTCTGCCGCGTTCAAAACAACTGGAAACTCGGAACTGGGAAATCACAGACTTCAGTGAGTTCAAGACATCTGGGAACTCTGAAAGAAACGAGCTCCAACTGGGAAAATACATTTTGAACAGTCATCCAACTTGGAATTCCAAGTTGGGAACTCTGGCCTCTTTCTAGAGCTCCGACCTAAAGATCACTCACGTCATGATTCAACCTTGTTTTTTCAGAGTTCCCAGTTGTCTTGAAAGCACCATAAATGCAGAAAATGCCAGACTTTGATGACAAAGTTTGATGACAAAATTTGCCCTCAAGGACCGCTGCGCCACTTTCCTGTTCAAGTGAGCACAGCACAACAAGGTGAGTCCAAAAATGTCTTATATGCTGCTGCATAAATTATGTAATATGCCAGGGAGATATGTATACTGTAGCTAAGAAAATAATACTAAGTGTATGTTGTGTAGTAAGCTGTTAGTAGCCCATGTGCCTCACCCTAATAATTTGGTCCCTTTCCCCCTCATAACTTAGCCTACTGTTCTGACTTGGTGGTGCACATGTAGCCTATAGCCTGTTTTAGAGAAATGTAATCATCGAATATTGTAAGAGCTTTCATTGTCTGCTTATATGCCCCCTTTATTTATCCTGTGGTTCTGACTTGGTGTACAGGGAGAATACTGTAAGAACGGCCCATGTTCTGAATTCTGTCGCTGTACATTTCAAAAGTGCTGAACAAATAGTTATATTGACTATGTCCGTCCTAGCTCGCTCATTAATGTCTTAATCAAAAATGACAGATTGCCTCTTATCCGCTCGTTGTCCCCTTATGCCATAGTTTGTACATCTCAATTGTCAGTAGAAACTACATTTGTTTAAGCAAGTCAGCCATATGAGCTATGTTTTTTTTAGAGGCAGTAAATTAAGCTGAATGAACTGTTTCGCTCCCAGACAAGGCTCCTCTGATAGCCAGGTGTAGCAGTGGTAAGGATTCACTCCATGGTGCTGAAAAGAAAGCTCTGCTGTTGGGACAGCTTTATGTAGGCCCCAACAGTTTGTGGGCACCGTTTTCACCGTAATAGTGCAATTAATGTATTGTTTAGTGTTGTGTAGTGTAGTGGCTTTGCTGGCATGCGTCTAAAAAAACATTGGTTGAGTTTGGCCCACCAACATTTACATACTAAAATCGACACTGTATGGGTGTAGGGTTAGTTCGTGGTGCCATTTTTCCTTCCCCACCCTTTTTTGTTTTTTTTGTGTTACATGATACCAAAGAAGAAGAATCACGAACACGTGTTGTGTATTTTGGACCAATCAGCACTTGGAATTTATCAGCACACGTTAAGTCTTTCGTTTGTCCACATTGATGTCGTTTGTGTACGTCATTTATTTTTACGCTACACATTTCTGATTATTGCGCAATAAACATAAGCTCCGTGTTAATAAAATGTACCCGGTCAGTGAAAACAGTTGTGGACTGCAGACAAAAATATAAAGTGTAAGCAAACTAACTAATCTGAAGCTAAGCTAGCTAGCATCTCTAAACGGCGTTCTTCACAGGAAATTCTGAATCTGTTTAGCAACTACAAAAATAAAAATGACTTCAGCCTCAACGAAGGTAGGTTATTCTCACGTTTTGATTTTAGCCCTATCTATCGCTGTTAGCTAGATCCTGCACACATCTAGTTCATGGTAGTAGCTGCCTAATGGTAGCTAGCAAGCGAATTCGAATGGCAGTGCATTTTACTGTCTTTCCTAATCCTATACCCAGGCAACTCAACTTTTGAAGAAAAAAACCAATTCTTCGTGTTATAATAATTCAAGCACCCAGGACGTGGTTGAATGTTGTTAATCATGCATGCACTTTTTTCTCACTTCCATGTACTTTGTGTATCGAAGCTACCACATGAAGGCGCTGTCTGCATGGAGGAAAACCCTTAATTAATGATGTCTTAAAATAAACATTAAGTCTGCATTGCAACCGTATAAAAAACCAAAGATGGATAAGATGGCCAAATCCTGTATTGATATGATGCCATCAGGCATTGCCTTGTTGTAATACAGTTGATCATACAGCGCATTCGGGTTACGTTACAGCCTTATTCTAAAATTGATCAAAATAAGTAAATCTAAACACTACACCATAATGACAAAGCGTAAACAGGTTTTTAGAAATGTTTGCAAATGTATTTTAAAAAAGTATATATATATATATATACACATATACCTTATTTACATAAGTATCCAGACCCTTTGCTATGAGACTCGAAATTAAGCTCAGGTGCATCCTGTTTCCATTGATCATCCTTAAAATGTTTCTACAACTTGATTGGAGTCCCACCTGTGGTAAATTCAATTGATTGGACATGATTTGGAAGGCACACACCTGTCTACATAAGGTCCCACAGTTGACAGTGCATGTCAGAGCAAAAACCAAGCCATGAGGTCGAAGGAATTGTCTGTAAAGCTCCGAGACAGGATTGTGTCGAGGCACAGATCTGGGGAATGGTACCAAAAGATTTCTGCAGCATTGAAGGTCTCCAAGAACACAGAGGCCTCCATCATTCTTAAATGGAAGAAGTTTGGATCTACCAAGACTCTTCTTAGAGCTGGCCAAACTGAGCCATCGGGGGAGAAGGGCCTTGATCAGGGAGCTGACCAAGAACCTGATGGTCACTCTGACAGAGCTCATGAGTTCCTCTGTGGAGATGGGTGAATGTTCCAGAAGGACAACCATCTCTGCAGCACTCCACCAATCAGGCCTTTATGGTAGAGTGGCCAGATGGAAGCCACTCCTCAGTAAAAGGCACATGACAGCCCGCTTGGAGTTTTGCCAAAAGGCCCCTAAAGGACTCCCAGATCATGAGAAACAAGAGATTCTCTGGTCTGATGAAACCAAGATTGAACTATTTGGCCTGATTGCCAAGCGGTGCGTCTGGAGGAGACCTGGCACCATCCCTACGGTGAAGCACGGTGGTGGCAGCATCATGCTGTGGGGATGTTTTTCAGCGGCAGGGACTGGGAGACTAGTCAGGATTGAGGGATAGATGAATGGAGTAAAGTACAGAGACATCCTTGATGAAAACCTGCTCCAGAGTGCTCAGGACCTCAAGACTGGAGCGACGGTTCACTTTCCAACAGGACAACGACCTTAAGCACCCAGCCAAGACAACGCAGGAGTGGCTTCGGGACAAGTCTCTGAATGTCCTTGAGTGGCCCAGCCAGAGCATGGACTTGAACCCGATCGAACATCTCTGGAGAGACCTGAAAATAGCTGTGCAGCGACACTCCCAATCCAACCTGACCAAGCTTGAGAGGATCTGCAGAGAAGAATGGGAGAAACTCCCCAAATACAGGTGTGCCAAGCTTGTAGTGTCATACCCAAGAAGACTCGAGGCTGTAATCACTGCCAAAGGTGCTTCAACAAAGTACTGAGTAAAGGGTCTGAATACTTATGTAAATGTAATATTTCTGTTTTTTATTTAATAAATTAGCAAAAATGACTCAACCTGTTTTTGCTTAGTCATTATGGGGTATTGTGTGTAGATTGAGAGGGGGGGGGGGGGGGGAACAATTTAATCAATTTTAGAATAAGGCTGTAACGTAACAGAATGTGGAAAAAGTCACGGGGTCTGAATACTTTCCGAATGCACTGTACATACTGTACTTCAAACAACCTTAGCTACTGTCTCATAAGAAAATAGGATAATTCAAAGGTATTTAGGCGTTTTCTGCTTTAATTCCTAAGGTTGGGGAGATCTTCTCAGCAGCAGGAGCTGCTTTCACCAAGCTAGGGGAGCTGACCATGCAACTGCACCCCGTGGCTGACTCCAGTCCCACAGGGTGAGAACACACACACCAAGTTACAGATAAAGATAAATATCTGTTTCGATTATGTAGAGTTCCAAGTCTAGTCTGATTATAAGTCTACTGGTCACTACTTGGTCATTTTTGGGCTTGTGTCACTGGTAGCGCACTCTAATACGTGCTCCCTCTTGAATATCCCTGCCAAGAAGACATTCTGATGAAACACTGTTGCGTCATTATTACCAGAAAGCACACGACACCCACCCACGCCATGTCCAACCTCTTAGTCACTGGCCGCGTTCGAGGGCATCACCAACTGACCAACAAAATCATAATGGGTAGTTATTTAGGATGCAAGGTGATTTGTAGATCTGTGCAGTGCAACTGCAATGTAGACTAGTGGATCTGAAACGCCCTGTGTGTTGTTGCAGAGCTAAGTGGACGGACACTGAGGTTGAGCAGCTGAGATCGGCCGTGGTGAGGTTTGATGACCTGAACTCCCTCAGCTCTGTCATCAAGGAGCACACTGTGTAAGGATCCCTCCTCATCTTAGTCTTTCTCTTTTCATTCCTAATGGCCCTCTATCATTGTAGTCTTTCTCCTTCACCCGGTCTTGGTCTCTTACCCATTGTATCTCTCTCTCATTGAACACTTCATGTGTTCAATGAGATGTGTGTTCAGAGGTAGCTCTAAAGCAATAGGAAGATTGACTATCAGTGACACAAGCCCTGATGAGGTAAACCATCACTAGAATATCTAAAATATCACATTCAGATCTATTTACCCACACATACATTTTACTATCCATCTGCTAGTGCTAAACATCTATCAATTCATGATGGTTTGCTTTTTTAAAGTATTTGTTGACCGGTTACTGGTTGAATCACCACTGCTAACCTAATCCTACCTTGTCTCTCCTCTTCCCAGGGTCCAGATTAAAAGTACAGTCAAGAGGAAGCTCTATGATGAGAGTGGGATGCCCATTTCCACCGACTCCCCCAAAAAGACAGTCAAGAAGACTGCTGTTATCATGGCCACCACGGCAACCCCAACTGTCATTGCTGTGCCGACCTCACAGGTCGTCATGAAGGCAGGTGTCCAGGGCAATGTGACTGTGGCCCCTTCCACCATGAAGAAACAGAAGTCCGCAGGTGAGTGGAGATTGATGAAGGAAGGAATCAATCAATACATTTGGTAGTTATTACCATCTTGGCAATGCTTCCTAATCAGTCCCACCTTCAGACTTACTAAAATACATTTTGTGACACATAATGAAGATGAAGTGTTTTTCTTTAACCTCAATATTGACATTTTATGAAAGTGTAATAGTAATGGATTGTTTTTCAACAAAATATGTGCAACGCAAGTGGAATAAAGTCCTTGCAGATCAAATTGAATAGTTTAACTGTGATTGTTTTTTGGTCTATATTTGAAACAATGGGATAAAAATAAAAAAGACACTTAGCTCTTCCTGCCTGTGTGTTATGTGTTCCAGCAGATGTGACTCTGAGTGCTCTGAATGACTCTGACTTCAACTCTGACCTGGTAGACCTAGAGGGACCAAACTCCAAGAAACTCAACTTTGATCAGGGTGAGAGAGAGTTTTTATTTTGACTACTATTCACTGATAGTGATAATGCACAGCCTTTGCTATTGGCCGAATGAGGGGAAACCAATAATTACTGGTCTTCAAGACCAAGCTATTACTATATCTGAGGGGCAGCAGGTAGCCTAGCGGTTAAGTGTTGGGCCAGTAACTGAAAGGTTGCTGTTTCGCATCCCCGAGCTCATTAGGTGTAAAAAAATATTTCTATGTGCCCGTGAGCAAGGCACTCCGGATAAGAGCGTCTACTAAATGACAAAAAAAATGTAATGTAAATCTGTATAGATAAAGTCCAAATAAACATGCCTTAAATTGATCTAGAATATATACTTTTTAGATCAACTTAGATCTTGCAGAAAATATACAATATAACTGAGTTTGTGGAAAAGTCAGTGCTATAATCTTGCCAGATAAAGATCCATTATTCCACTATTTTTCCAACTAAAATGTTTTTCTTTGCTCCTCAGACAACCTGAACCTCGACTCCAGCTTCATCATGAACTCTAGTGAACTGCCGCTCCTCTCTCGTTAACCTCTCACCTTAAGATGTTTGCATCCCAAATAGCACCCTATTTCCTACATAGTGCGCTACTTTTGACTGGAGCCCTATGGACCCTGGTCAAATGTAATGCACTAAATAGGGGTTAGAGTGCAATTTGAGACGCAGCCCAGACATCTCTCCTAAGAACAACAGCCGAGATCCTTCAGATTTGCTTTGGCAGATCTCTATGGGTGCATCTGAAATGGCACCTTATTCCCTGCTTTTGGTCAGGGCCTATGAGGTATGCAAATGTTCTTGCATGAGGAATGTGTTGGTGGATGTAAATAATGGTATTTTCTTTACATTTACATTTTAGTCATTTAGCACTCTTATCCAGAGCGACTTACAGGAGCAATTAGGGTTAAGTGCCTTGCTTAAGGGCACATCGACAGATTTTTCACCTAGTCGGCTCAGGGATTAGAACCAGCGACCTTTCGGTTATTGGCACAACGCTCTTACCCACTAAGCTACCTGCCGCCTTTATGCATACATTATTGATTTGTACCACGCAAAAAGCTAATGTGCAGAGATGCGTGGCCAAGGACTGTAGCGTGTCGATTTTGCCACTATCTTGGTTTTTGTCAACTATGATATCTGGGTAGGTGGCCCTGCGAATGCCTCTGACAATGCCGCAACTGCAAACTGTTGTATACGGAATCATGTAGTTATGAACCCAGTGTTGAGCCCACCAGTAAATTAAACTACCGGTATTTAAAAATCTAAACTGGATAATAAATCTATGAACACTCAATTGTATCAAATGATAGGAATTAGTTTAGTGTAGTTTTCTTTCTGTATGAAAATGTGTCAACATGGATTATTTAATTTTTTTCGAAACATGACCCACGATCCTTCAAGGTAATTTTTTTGGGAAAACATTTCTCGGTCAGTTGCTGACAAACATTTGTAGTTTTGTATAGAGGCTTACTCTAAAGACAATGATCAAATGACCTGTGTGATTTGCTGAATTATGTTGAATAAATTGACTTTTTAATAAACTTGTAGTTGGTAATATTCTTTCATTCAGGAGTCATACCACTCAATGTGTAGTCTTTATTGAAATGAGATTTTATACAATTGAAAACACTGGTGGACACTGTACAGTAATAAAAATACTTGTAAGATTTGTCACACACCGGATAGGTGGTGTGATGTTTTAGTGTCAGCCATAATAGTATGGCGCCCCTGGAGCAAATTAGGATTAAGTGCCTTTGCACTAGCGCACAGACAGATTTTTCACCTTGTCTGCTCAGCTACCTTTTGGTTACTTGCTCAAAGCTCTAACCTCAATTATAGTACACATAAAAATGAGGGACAGCCAGGCACATGACATAAATATGCCACTGTGATACTAACACAGGGCTTCTTCCGATAAAAATTAACTGAGTAAAATAAAAATGGTGGCACAATACAGAATATGAACACAGGAATTGATGCCATTTTAGCTCCAGGTTGAGGAGTGGATAAGATGTATTGTAGACAAGTGTGTGGCTGACTGGAGCAGCACAAGCCATACTGGCAGCCCAGAGAAGGGGCAGCTACCAGTAATGATGTGCTGCTAACGCCAGACACACTGGGGGAGAGGAAGAGACCAGCATGCTGACTAAAGGAGAGCCCAACAGCCACACTTGGAGAGGACAGAGAGGGGATGCCAGCCAGGTCGACCACCCGGCCTTAGTCTGGAGAGCCCACCAGGCAGACTGACAGGCCTCTGTCACTGCATTGGAAGGACCACCAGGCAGACCAAAACCCCTTGGTCTCTCCTACAGTATGCCTGGCTACAGACTGCCGGCCAGCAGGACCATCAGGCTCCTCTGGCTGACGCCAAAGGCCTCGCTCCAACATTAGGAAGAGACGCCCGTCTGGACTGGCGTCAACACAGATGAAGGGCTTGCAACAACTGAAAGTTATGTCTTTATAGTCATTTTATGGCACCATATTTTAACATGTTCCCCCTCCAGTAATATATTCAAAGGAAGCTAGTAACTATGAAACAAACCGAAAGCTTCAGAAAGTATTCACACCACTTTACTTTTTCCACATTTTGTTGCGTTACAGCCTGAATTAAAAATGTATCAAATTGGCCAACACACAAATTCACTGCTAGACAGAGGCCTTACAGATAATTTTATGTGTGGGGTACAGAGATGAGGTAGTCATTAAAAATCACGTTAAACACTTATTGCACACAGGGAGTCCATGCAATGTCAAAGTGGAATTCTGTTTTTAGAAATTAAAAATGAAAAGCTGAAATGTCTTGAGTCAATAAGTATTCAAACCCTTTGCTATGGCAAGCCTAAATAAGTTCAGGAGTAAAAATGTGCTTAACAAGTCACGAGTTGCATGGACTCACCGAGTGTAATAATTGTGTTAATGTGATTTTTTTATGACTAAATAAATGTAAGGTCCCCCAGTCGAGCGGTGAATTTCAAACACAGATTCAACCACAAAGACCAGGGAGGTTTTACAATGCTTCGCAAAGGAAGCGCACCTATTGTTGGTAGATGGGCAAAAAACATTTTAAGCAGACAATATCTCTTTGAGCATCATGAAGTTATTCATTACACTTTCAATGGTGTAGCGATACACCCAGTCACTACAAAGATACAGGCGTCCTTCCTAACTCAGTTGCCGGAAAGAAAGGAAACCACTCATGGATTTCACCGTGAGGCCAATTGTGACTTTAAAACCGTTACAGAGCATAATGGCTGTGATAGGTGAAAACTGAGAATGATCAACAACATTGTAGTTACTCCACAGTACTAACCTAAATAACAAGAGTGAAAAGAAGGAAGCCTGTACAGAAAAAATATTCCAAAACATGTAATATTTACATCATTTAGCGAACGCTCTTATCCAGAATGACTTACAGTAGTGAGTGCATATATTTTCGTACTGGTCCCCCCCGTGGGAATCGAACCCACAACCCTGGCGTTGCAAGTGCCATGCTCTACCAACTAAGCCACATGTTTTGACATGCTTGTCATTGGCAAGGGAGTTTTCTTTTGTTGATAAAAAGAAACAGAGCTAAGCACAGGCAAAACCTGGAAAATAGGAAAACCTGGTTCAGTCTTCTTTCCAACAGACACTGGGAGACAAATTCACATTTCAGCAAGACAATAACCTAAAACACAAGGCCAAATATATACTGGAGTTGCTTACCAAGATGACATTGAATGTTCCTGAGTGGCCTAGTTACAGTTTTGACCTCAATCGGCTTGGAAATCTATGGCAAAACTTGAAAATGACTGTCTAGTAAAGATCAACAACCAACTTGAGAGCTTTGACAGAACATTTCTTAAAAGAATAATGTGCAAATATTGTACAATCCAGGTGTGCAAAGCTTTTAGAGACTTACCCAGAAAGACTGACTGCTGTAATCGCTGCAAAAGGTGATTCTAACACGTATTTCTGTATTTCATGTTCACTAAATGTGCTACAATTTCTAAAAACATGTTTTCACTTTGTCATTATGGGGTATTGTGTGTAGATGTGTGAGAAAATCAATTGAATTAATTTTTAATTCAGGCTGTAACAACAAAATGTGGAATAAGTCAAGGGGTATGAATACTTTCTGAAGGCACTGTAAAAGGGGCAGAAAACATGACAGTGTGATAAGTGATAAGATGACAACATTACAGGTTATACAAACACTGACAACTGCAAGTGCAGATAAGGACAGTCCTCCTTCGGAATGGAACATTGATAGTCAGAATTGGAATGGCAGAACTGTTCTTTTGGAATTGCCGTGATTCCAAGGGCTCCCAGCGGCAGCACATAATGATTTGGAGTTGCTTTTAGATACCTTCAAAACATGATGTGCTGCTAAAGGGTACCCCGGAGAGATGGCGAGAGAGAGGATTCTTCATGGTATAGAGCTGTGGAGATGAAGAAGAAAACAGATAATTAACATAAGTCTGACAAGATTCTCTCTCTCATACTTCAGTGCAAGAGATTCTTGTAGAACTTTCTTTCAATAACACCAAACCAAGATATTACATATAGGCCTATAACATATTTTAAAGATATGTAGTTTTTACACTCTGGTGGCAAATTGCTTCTAGAGTTTTAGAAACATGAGTTGTGAGTAGTAGAACAATAGTTATGCTTTCTTAAGAAAACAATAAGAGACAGATGGTGAAATGATTTTCTTGGCAAATGCAATACCAAGTCAATTCTATGTAATTCATAGGAATTTAAATTAAACTTAAATTATAATACAACTTTATATACTTCAAGTATTTGAGACCACAAAATGGACGGTGGGCAAGTGGACAAAATGGTGGATGAAGATGAAAAAAGAGAAGAGAAGTTGAGGAAGAGAGAGAGGACACTTTCTGAACAGTTCACTAACTACACCAAAATACACCAGGTGCATAAATGTATCTATTCAAATACACATTTTAAATCGGAATGTTAGAAACATAGTCTGTAAAAAATATACTTACTAAAAAAATCACTATTTGTATAATATATAGTCTTAATATTTAAAGCCTTGCCTTTTTGCCTGTTTGACCCTTTTTCTAGGTTTTACAGAGGTGGAATACTGATATGCTACATGCAGAAGAAAAATGTATACAAAAGAGCCAAACAGGACAACATCCTCATACATTGAAAATAATTCTGATGATTTTATCATGGTTTTTGGTTACTAAATAAAATATACATGTTAATTTCCCCTTTGCCTACAATACACCCCCCCCCACCCACCCCACCTCACTGAAACAAAGACCGTATGTCCTGCAGATTGCCAAACAGATTCCCAAAAATTATGTGATGAAAAGAACACAATTAACTCGATATGTAGAATAATAGTTATAAATTGTGCCATTTTGAAAACAGTGCCCATTCTAAACCATAGAGCATGAGGAGTCAGTTATTCTCATCAAGACAACCTCCCCACATCTAAAACTCTATCCCAATAGTAAAAACAGGAATACGAGAGTTCATTTTAAAAAGATTTGACAGAACAGAAAAAAGGCCAGTTAAAACTAATAATAATTTATATCATTATACTCTAAATCATAGAAATTACAGACATCACCACAATAATCACCCTATATGCAGCAGAGACCAATCGAACGTTTGGGACTTGTTGGACCTCACCGTCTTCAAAACAAGATTATCTTCAAACATGACTGTGCGGGTGTGTGTGTGAGTTTGTGAAAGGAAAATTAGGGAAAAGAGGGAGAGAGAATGGAAAAGGAGGGACAAAAAAGAGAAGAGAGGAAAAGGAGGGAGAAATAGTAGAGGAAAAGGAGGGCAAAAGAGAGAAAGAGCCCCCATAGAAGGTGTGACCTTGACATTCACGAGCAGCAATGCACCTGAGCTCCAGCTAATGTAGCAACCACAAGACACACACACCCCTCAGAGAGAGGGAGGGAGAGAGGGATGAAAATAGGGGGAAGAGGCACAAGAGACCTCTTGACTGTGTGACTACAACAAGGGGTCAGTTCTTGGCACTAGCAGTTGAAATAGAACTGATGTGGCCCTCGAATAAGGCTAATCGTACACACAAGGTGTTCAGTTGAATATCCATTTGATCCAAGTAATACATGAACGACAGTACATTTTTTGTGTTATCAAGATACAGAAGAGTCACTTAACCATTTAAATAGAACTGATGTGGCCCTCAAATCTGTCTAAGCGAACACGATTCCAGTTGCAGAACACAGATAAGAGACACCTCATACATAAATTACAATAGGTTTTTAGTTTTATTAACACACGCATATTTGGAATTTGTTTTGTGATCTGTCTAAAAAAAGTAGAGACAAAAAAAGTCTAGGAACAGACAGTGAAGCAAAAATATGAAAAAATCTGTAAAAATTTAGAAAAACTATTACATAAGTAGTGATTTAAAAAATGAATCGTAATTGAAGTGATCGCTGTTGTGTCAAGTAAGAACAATATGTTTTTTTTAGGAGGGGCTGATCTTGCTTAAACTTTTTAGACATAGAAAAGTTGGATTTCCAAGGCATAAAGTCGACCGAAATGAAACTTTTCACCAATATACTATTGATATGAATTCATATTAACCGAATGAACACCAATTGGCCATACTTTAAGACTTTAAACAAAATCACCACCACTTTAACCCTACAATGTGGAAGAGAAAAAAAACACTTCAATGTCAAATAGCATTTGTCCTAGTACGGCCAGACTAAAACCAAGACAGTATTAATTAATGCCAAACTAATTCACAACATTCATGCAATTAGAACTATGGAGACTAGAAGATAATGACATAGCCTATTAGCCTATTTCAGACTAGTGCCAAACGACCACATTGATATTATTATTCATTCAGGAAAAGCAGGATGACATTATGAGTAGCTTATTAGAGATTTTAAAAAGCCAGTGATCACGTCAGAACTCAGGCAGCAAGCATTTGTTCTCTCTCTCTCTCTCATTGCCAGATAGGCTCATTCAAAATGAGTGTGGAGGGAGAGAGGGAGGGGTGCAAGAGAGAGAACGAACGAGAAAGAGCGAGGGAGGGTAGGGGAGAGAGAACAAGAAAATGTGAGGCAGGGAGAGCGACAGACGTACGAGGTAGTATAAAATCATTTTCAGTCTTTCTCTCTGGCCTAGGCTTGTCTCTCTCCATTCAAACCAGAGGCCATTTTAAAAGACCTGAAACAGAGAGGAGAAAAGGAAGTCGAAAGAGAAGGGATTCACTTACCTTGGGTTCTTGTTCAAAATAATGGGAAAAAAGGGGAATGGTTGGGGGCCAATAACATCATCTAAACGCCCTCTTCAAATTAAATCTAGCTCACACCTTGTGTAGTAGCCTATTTCTCCTTATATTGATGCACCTCTGAA